ATTTTAAATAGGATAATCAAGTTTGAAGCTATTTTTACCTCTTTTATAATCAACAGTTTACACTAAGTGTGAATGCAAGTGCGAATGAGATCCTAAAACATGGTATCTAAGATGCATGTATAAAGCTCATGATACAGAATTCCTAGAGCAGGATTTATAAATGCACATGGCAGGATTGCATAATTTCTTAAGAGTAGGATTTCTAAATGCACATGGCAGCGTAGAACATAATAGTAAAGTGCTAATTATTAGCAGATTTTAGCACATGATTTTTGTAAAGGTGCACATGCTGAAACAATAAACATGTGACCTAAGAGCATGATTTCTAATGTATGTATGAACCCTAAGCATGGTTTCTATTTCGCAATTAGGAACATAAACCTAATAATATGTTTTCTACCCTTAACAACAATAGCATGCATATTTACCCCATCCTTGTTCACTAGCCAATCCCAATACTTGTTTACAACAAGTTATTACAGACCAACATTGAAATGAATCACATAATGAAAATAAGAAGTTACACTATAGGAAGCCTGATTAGGACTTCCTCTTTGAGTTATGTAATCAATCACCACAAGTGCCAAGATTGTTCAATAGCCTTTCTCATACCTGGGTGTGTCAGAGTTCCCTAAGGACCTCAAGGGATCCCGAGCAATGCTCACACCCAGATTTTCATAGTCAAGATAGAGTAGGTGCAGTGTGAAAAGGCCAGCTTTTATGTATCCAAGTTCATAGGGAGATCAAGGGTCCCAAGGCAAGGTTCACATAAAAGGGGCAGAACCTAGTAATCTAAGAGTATATGTGAGAGTGCTTGACATAGGTTTAAAAGAGTTGAGTTGGAAAAAAGTTTTTTAGAGGAGAAGGGAATAGGGGAAGCAACAACTTGGGATAGACCAGCACACACAGAACAAATCCAAAGAATAGTATCATTCCAACATTCACAAGCAGAGAAGTAAGGGGTTGGGGACATAGAGGACCCAAGACAGAAACACATGGATGAGAAGAGAAGCATATTGACCAACAAGCAAACAGAACAGATAGGGACTGATTTTAAAACACAAACAATTACTTCAAAGAGTTAATAAGGGAATCATGCTTAAAATTAGAAGAGTAATAAGATATTGGGATAGGGTATGAGAGTAGTCATGCAAGGGCTTATTGCACATAATCAGTCATGACTTAGTGTTAATCGAGTACATTAGGAAACATACTAGTTGAGGGACATAAACAAGAACAAGTAGACATGCTGATTATATTTGAACAAGAGAGGGTAGAACTTCAAACATGCGGAGTAAAGCAATAAACAAGAAATGCAATTAAACAACATGAGCCATTAAGTTAGTGCAGAAAAAGATAGGGATTGACAAATAGTAGAGCACATAGAGTTGAGTTTCAGAAGTGAACTAGAAACATACCAGTTGAGGAAGCAAAGTGCAGAAAAGTAAAGCAAGTAGAGTTCCACAACCTAGCCTTGGCTTTCAACCGGCTAGACAAGCAGTAGCACAAGTAGCAGAGAAAGAAGAGAGAGTTCGAGTGTGTGTGTGTGTTTTTTTGAACTAATTGTTCGTGTTTTGAATTTAGAGTAGAGGACAATATATATAGTAGTTTAGGAGTGGAGCAAAATAAGGTAAAGAAATCATAATTCAACAATCAAGGAAATTACATATGAAATTAGTATAACCTTCCTTCAATTAAGGACAATTACCCAACGGTTAGAGGGTATGAGTCACTTAAGTAAGAAAATCAAATCAGACCCAAGTAAAAAGGTAAGCAAACAGAAGTTTAATTAAGGAAGTAATCATAAAGAATCAATGACATTACGGACAATAAGGTAATAAGAATAATCAGAGTTATAAACAAGGGAATGAATCAATAATCAACACATAATTTTAAACAAGCAAATCAATCAATCGAGATTAAAAATAATACTGATTTGAAGAGAGGAAAAATATCAGTTTTCCATAAATAGCCAAATAGGCAAAAAATAGGATTTCATAATCATGCATAAACTTGCCAAGGGATCGACTCAGAAACCTTAGTAGAGATGAACTAGGGTAAAATTCACAAGATACTGAATTAGGCTAAAGGGAAAAATCATGAAAGTCAAAGCACAACACCAACAATGTAACAAGTAGCTCGGAAAGACTAAGAATCGAAGCAAAAACATAAGAAAATTAGAGCTTTAACATAAACTAGTTAGGGTCCAGACAATTTTAGCAGAAATCAATCAATAAAACCTAAGAACATATGATTAACACTCAAAAATCATGAAAACTTTGAGAAGACGAGTTTCAGTAAACCCTAATTTAGAAAAGAGCAACTAAAATCGAAATAGTTACTCAAAACAGGAGAGTTTTTAAAGGAAAACGTTTAATAACACTTGAATTGTCTCAGATCTATAAAGATCTTAGAAGAATCGAACAATAGTGAGTCTAGGGTTTCAAAAAATAGTAAAGATGGAGAAAATTGGTTAAAAACTCATGGATACGCTTAGATCTAAGATAGATCTAAAGAAAAGTGGAAAATCTCAAGAGCTAGGGTTTCAGAACCCAGAGAAGGTGAGAAAACATTAGATCGTTACCAGTTTTAGTTGGAAAGGCCATGGATCTTACTCGAACAGCCATGGATGGCCGAAACAAGTAGCATAAAAGATCATGGATAGAAGTTGAACAAGATCTGGACAAGTTCTCTTCGAGATCTTTCCACTAAATCACAAAAACGGGCAACCAGGAGACGTAGGAGACAAGTATACGTCTCAAACAGCCATAGGAATCCATGGATTGAGTGAGGATCAAAGGGGATTGGGCTGGTTTTAGGTGGCGGCGACTAGGATTTGAGTTAGGTTTCAGAGAGAATTGGAGAGGAAAGGGGATTCAAGAGCGGCGGATTGTAATAAAATGAGTTAGGTTAGGGGGTCGTTTGGGTTATAAAGGTTAAGGGGAAATAGGGGTCGTTGATCTTAGAGATCAACGGCCAAGATGAGAAGGGGGTTTGGGTTGGGTAGGATTAAATTGGGTTTGGGTCGGGTTTTAATTGAAATTGGGCTAGAAAATTGGGGTCCAATTTGGGCTACAATTGAAAGCCAATTTGGTTTTATTTTAAATAGCCCTTTTCCCAATTTAATTTATAAAAATAGTAAATAGTTTCTGAAAACTAATTTAAAAAGCTAAAATGATTTATAATACATAATTAAAAATTTTAAAAATACAGGATCCAATTTTATGCGTATAAAACATAATTAAATCTAAAAAAGCTAGTATTGCAATTATGTGCAATTTAGCTTTAAAAATACTAAATAAAATTTTAAAAATATGTAAAAAATTACTTTAGCCATATTTTGGCATAAGTATATAAATACAATAGATGAATTATCAAAATAATAATTTGGAAATAATTATTGGGAATTTTATGGATAAAAGGGGAGAAAATAAATCAATTTAAAACCTTTAAATTATGGAAAAATAATAAAACCCTTGGACATGCTTATATATGCATACATATACTATTTTGAAGGTTTTTTGCTTATTGAAAAAATATAGGGAAAAAATTGGGTATCAACAACGCCTTAAATGACTGGGAAGTTGAATCGATGGGATGTTTCAGTCACCTCTATCACTTGCGTCACAGTGCTCATGGTAAACCAATATCCGGTCCGGAAACTCAATTCGTTTCTTGTCATTACATTGCAAGAAACGAGGGAACTATCTGTATACGGTTAAAACCGGGCCCAATCGATTTTACTAATTAACCAGGACTAGGAGGATGGATCGACGACTAGTCCCATGGCTTGACAGACCGAGATACGAGGATAAGGTACCGAGTTCGGGATTCGAGACGCCCAATAAGATCGAAACTAGTAATAATCGAGATCGAACGGGATAGACATTGAACAAAACCAAAGATAGCATAGTAACGGAAAGGTGAGATATCCGTGACTGGTCGAGGATAATGACAGAAATCTCGGAACAGATCAAATCAAGGGCGGATGTTTAGATAATCATGGGATTTCCTTCTGTAATTGAAATTATACCGTAAATAGGATTCCTCTACTATGGGTCTTAATCATTTGTAATCATCTTATATTCACGCATATCAAAGCAATACAATACTCTTTTCTCTTATATTTTCTTGTTCATCAGTTTGCTTCATAACTCTACCCTCACTCACTCAGTTCAAGGGAAACCTAACTCGAGGTCTGAATTGCATTTCAATACTGGTTTGCTTCACTTTTTTGGTTTGCTTCCCTTTTCTATTATTAATCATCATATTTATCATTTGGTGTTAAGGTGAAATTACATAACTTTAAAACCACTTATAAGTTTAATAAGGGTAAACAGTATGAGCCACATAAAAGACTCTACGCACTACTAGAAAAGTATTAATTTGTGACTGAAAATAAAATAGTCGCTAATGGGACTACTTTTGCGACTGCTGTAGTCGGAAACATATCTGAAGTTTTATTACCTTTTCTAAAAAAGAAATTAGACTATTATTCCGACGAAAGCACTGTGAAAATAGCGGGCCAATTTCCCGCTTCATGTCTGCGACCGATTCAGTCAGAGAATAAAAAGTCAAAAATATTAGTTGACCAATAAAGCTATTGCGTCGGTCGCCAAGTTAAAATTAAAATGGCAAAAAAATATTTAAGTGGGTTTGCGACCACGATAGTCAGAAATGTAAATTTAATATTTCAGGCCAAAATCCTATTTTCCCAATTTGTGCGCGCCCTGTTTCCCCAATTTCCCTCCTCTCTTTTTCGATATATTCCATTCCATCTCAGCGGCTGATAAAAAGCAAACAGGCAGACGAGGCAAAGGCTGACAGAGGCAAAGCTTCCACCATATTCTGTGCTTGAAATTCGTTTCAACCGAGCAAAAGAGTATAGCAGGTGCCTTTTTATTTCATCACCCATATTTTGTATGTNCATCCTAAATATCTGGAGGGAACTTTAGCTATAGACAGAGGAGGAGCACTCCTACGTCGAAAGCTTTTCAACCTTTCCCTTTTTCTTCCTTATTTAAGGTGAACTTTTGAAGCATTATTTCTCTGTTTTCTCTTCAACATTAACATACAGAATTAGTGGAATGAATGTGTGAATTTGATTTTGCTTCTTTCAGCCGGCTCTGTACTCGGATTTTCTCTAAATTTCCAGAAAATTCACAGTATCTGTGAGTTAAAAACTTAAAGCTTTTTCTTATCTTGAATATATCGATTAAGCTTATGTTCATACCAATGTTCTATAAATTAAGAAGAAGCTTCTAGTAACTTCATTGTTGTTGACCTCAACCTGTTGTTTTCTTGGAAACTGATTTCTGAGAATATGTTTATGGAGATGTGTTTAGGATGTATCTCAAAGTGTTTGATCTTCACAAACTTGTAGTCGTACTTGAGAAGTAGTAGCTTAGTAGGAGAGCTTTAATTTGGTAGTTGTAGTTTCAGTTATAGAATATAGCTTTGGGTAAATTGTGATGGTATCAGTAATATTTATAGGCAAAATTGGACCAAGACATTAAACAGTGACTTGCCATGAAAGTAATTGGTTGTTGCCTTCTTTCTTCTCTTTTTGGTCTTTCTGTTTAGATAACAGTTGTCATTGTTACAAGTGTGTTGAATCTGTCAAAGTAACTATTCTTTAAGTGGTCACACTAATCTCAATCTATGCTGCCTGTTGTGAACTGAAGTTGAAATATGCAAGGGCTGAATAATTTTGTACGTAAGGTTTAGGTCGAAAGGGTTTAAACATATATCGCATCATAATTTCCTCAATTATGCAAAATGAATATTTTGTGTCAAAATGTATGTTTAATGTTAGATAGAAAATGAATAATTTTAATGAATATATCGCATCATCCCCTCCTAGTGTTTCTAGGCCGCATGTTGGAGATTCTACCATACCATCATCCCCATCCATTGATACATATACATCTGCTCCTGATGATACACAGACTCAGACTTTTGAAGAGATTGTATCATATGATTCCCTTCATAGACTAATTATCATTCCTGATGGGACTACTGGGTAAGAAATTACTTTATTATTCGTTTGAATTGTTGAATATATTTTTAACATATGGTAATTTTAATGTAGGTTTGTTCCCTCCAATGAATCTACGAAGGTGGTTGTGGATTGTGTTAAAGGATTTTATCGAGATGCTTGGATTAAATGGTCAGATATACCATATATTTACAGAAATCAGATGTGGAATCAATTTAGGGTACAAAATCAATAAATTTTGTATTATTTATCAAACTACCCTTATTTCATCTAATGTTTTAAATAATTTGCAGACAATGTGTGCATGGATTTCCAAATATCATCAGCAAATAAGTCATAATTTCGAGAAAAAGCTGCTGATCGGCTTAAAAATCTCCTTTATAAAGCTCGACAGAAGGGCGAGAAGCTCGGTTGGATGCTAAAAGACATGTGGGATAGACTTATTGTGATATGGGCTTCTGAAGAATTTAAGAAGAGGAGCAATGCTGCAAAGGCTGCCCGAGCCTCCAATACGGGTGACTCATTGCACACTAGGGGTTCAATTAGTATGGAGAACAATAGAAGGAGAATGGTAACTTTCTTATTATATTTGTTTTGATTTTAACTAGATACAATTGAACTTTATCTAACTTAATTTTTTTTTTTGCAGGAAAAGGAAAAAGGGAGACTTGTGACTTATGCTGAGGTCTTTGAGGACAAGCATTTGAAAAAGAAAAAGGATGGGACAAGAGAATGGGTCGAGCCACGTATTGCGAGGGTATATGTAAGATCCTTCTATTTCCTTTTTGTCTCTTCTTCTTCTTTGATTTGTTGGAGTTGATGATTCTTCTAGTCATAAGAAAAGGGCCTTATACTTTTATATATGTTGCTCTCCACAAGACTCCAAATAGTTCTGCTGCTGCTACCATCTTTTTGTTCTTTATCAGAGCAAATTACTTCACTGCTCTTTTTTGCAGTCGGATGCCTTATTTCGACATCTTTAGTTGTTGTATGTCATCTCTTATAAGAAGTTTCATTCATTGTTTTCAATATCTTACGTCTTGTTGAATTCTTTGACTTTTCACAATATTCCTTATTACATAACCCATTAGCAAGAAGTATCGAGGAGTTGCTGCTTCAAATTTAGCTAATAGTTACTGCTTTTTCATTGTCTTGAGGACAGCATTGGTTATATTTACACTTGGTGTTGCATTTTTTCTTCCTTTTTTGGTAAATTATATCTTCTTTCTTGTTCATTGATTCAGACTGCACTAGTTGTAATCGAACTAGCATTTCCTATGTTTTGCTTAGTTGCTTGTTGATCCATATGCACATTAACTGCTACACTTACAAGAAACTTTAGATATACTCAGAGGATGGCAACTTATGTGCTGCTTGTGGTGTCTGACCAGTTCATCTGATAATTCTGATAATTTCCAGCATCTGATAATTCCGATCATTTCCAGCAGCTGATAATTCTGGAAACAAAAAAAATTGATCGATATTCCTAAAAACTACGAAATCTGAATCGATGAATATGGCTTTATCGTATTCATTAAGTTGCCATATTCTGAGCTTGTTGTAAATCCATTCATTAGATGCATTTTTCTCAGCATGTGGACTTCTTATTCTTTTGTATTTAGAGTTCACGATTAATAACATTGTCCACGTAATAATATTTTAATAGCATTTAGCCAAAGTACATACCTTTCCTTTTGTTTTGTGTGTGGACAAGACTTGACTCTAATGGGCATGGTTATTTGCCACAAGATAAATGTTGGCATTAAGAAATCATTAGAATGACACCACTGTTTTCAAGAACTCTGAAAGTTTGAATTACAATAGGCATATAAAATATGGAGTACTAGTCTTTTCCTTAGCCAAGTCATGCTTTGTCTTTCTCTCTACCTTATAATTGTGAAAAAATCAGAGTGCCCTCAGAACAATCACCCCGGGCAACTAGCTAGCTTTTATATCCTTAAATTCAAGTGCTGTTTTTTTTACAAAGAGGGAAAATCTGCTGGTACTCTAACTGAATATCTTTTCGGTCTCATTTTAATTTCAGGAAGCCTATCAGCAACGTTTTGAGGAATGGCGTCATAGTCAACCCGATTCCGAGGATAGTAGCTCAACCCAAGTGTCACTCAATGATGTAGCTTCAATATGGACGCAGGTGGTTGGTGGCGCAAAGAAAGGTAGAACCTACGGTCTTGGATAACAATATTCTGTAGGTCGTTCTACGACATTGTTGTCGGGTGATGCGAGTAATTCGTACGATCACGAAGAGGTGGAAGCATTACGAAAAGAAGTTGAAGAATTGAAGGAGGAACGGAAAGAAGATCGCGCAAATTTTAAAAAATTGCAGAGTCTAGTGGAGAAATTTATGAGCGGACGTCCATTTGCTCCTTCGAATGGCGACGGTGGTAGGGATAATGAGTTTTAGTTTGTTATGGTTATTGATGTTTGAGACATTATTATTTGTTGTAGTTGGATGTTTAGACTTGGTAATATTTACACTTGACTATGATTGTTATATTTTAGACTAGATTGAATGGTGCCAGAATGATTAACTCTTTTTGGATGTTTTAGTTACAAATATTTATGTTTTGCATTTTATGGATTTGATTAGTTGCAATGGCGGATTGATTGGTTAGCATGGTAGATTAATTGGTTGTTGTATATTTGAATTGGTAGGTGGTATTGCTTTAAAAGAGCTGAAATTTGGCAAAAAAATGCCAGTTTTCCGACTTATTTCCAACCATAGTAGTCGCAAAATGCATCAAAATATTTCAGATTCAGAAACATCTGCGACTACTGTAGTCGGAAATACAAATAAATAAATAGTTTTAAATTAGATTTGTGACCACGGTAGTCAGAACCATAAATAAATAAATAAATAATTTTAAATCAGATTTGCGACCACAATCGTGGGAAAACTCAAATAAAATTAAATATTATTATAATTATATATACCGTTTTGCGATCGAAGTAGTGGGAAAGTTAATATAAAATTAAAATTTAATTTAACCTGTTTGCGATCGCATCGGTCAGAAACTTTACCTGTATTAGTCGTTTTTCTGTTTTGACTTAGTGACCGCTATAGTCGCAAATTACAGACGGATTCGGTCGCAAACTATTTCAGGCCAGCAATTTTGCGACTACGACTTTTCGGTCTGAAAGTAGTCGGAAATTAGCATTTTCTGACCACTTTCTGACCGTTTTTGCAGTTGCAAAATCGCCATTTTCTAGTAGTGACGCTTCATGCGTCGATGATTGACTTGCACAAATAGCGTATGCCTGTTTCAGATTAGCTCGAGGCTGCTGCTTCTTTCCTCCTTTGCTTTATTCATTAGCTTTGTAATTACCTGTATAGAGCATATGAATGTACCTCGACCATGCATTTCCTTAGACAAGAAACTGCATCCCAAACATTGCTTCCCAGAACACATTCAAAACTCCTCGTGTCATTCCACTTGTCCAGATGTTAATGTTTTCCTTGCCTTGTTGTTGTTGCATCAGTTCTGCCTGCTGTATTTTTTGAGATAGCAGTAGATTAGCTGGTTCCATGAAACATTGATGCTGTATAGGCTTTGCTGTTCCCACAATTCTATAGCATTAGTGGTATCCCATAGTTGCAATATGTATTCCACACGATCCATGTTTGTGCCTATCTTTAACATCTTTTCAATGGAACGAGCACAAAATGCTAATAGCATACATTGAATCCCAGTTAAACGATAGGGCACGAAGACAGTAACTTTTCCTTATAGATGTAATATGTATTGATGCCCGCCGCGTTGTACACGCAGCAGCCCACACAGTCCAGCTCTTTGTATGTGTTGTCCTCGTTCATTTGCAAGTATTGTACTGCTACTGATCTTTCCTTCTTTGCCTTGGCATCTTCTCGAGGTCTTTAAGTAGTTAGTAGAGGACTTTCTGGCTAAATGACATATCCCTGTAATCTTCCAATTTGATCCTAAGATTCATCACCTGCTATCATGAATGACAACAACAAAAGCAGAAAATATAATGCATGTGGTAGGTTTAACCTTCAATAGAAGACAAAAGACAGAAATTTAGGGAGCTCGGCTTAATTAAGTTTCCAAAGAAGCTTAAATAAAACAAGAAACTAACATTGATAAAGCGAGACCAACCTCTGCAGGGGGACGGCTGTAATCCACCGGATTCCTTCCACTAATAATAAGAATTCCAAAACTATACACATCACTTCTCTCTCATTCAGCACGCCAGTGCTAAGCATTCTCCGGAGCAACGTAACTGATAGAAAAGGGGCCATTAGTGTATTGGGAAAAAGCTGAGTTTATATTAAAAGATGATGTGGCATGACACGTGGATTAGTTAAATGGTCAAAGCGCA